GAAACGTCTTCAAGTAACTTAAAGAAGTCCAGACGCTTTTCTTTGCAAGCTCCTTTGACTACGATGACCTGGATGACTGAGAACCTTCACAGACATATTTTATGCATACAAGTTATAATCCAATCTTCTGTGTAGAAAAATATACATTTGTGCAAAAATATCTTGTGCAAGGAAAAAAATGACGATGGGAATTTAGGTGTTACACAAAGAGAAAAATGGTTTGTTCTTCGCAGGTCGGAGCCTTTAAATATTACCCAATCAACCGTGGTTTCAAACCTGATTACATTACAGCTTATAAGTGTGAATGCATCGCTCCAGACCAGGGTGAGTCTTCAAACTATTTTTTTTTTAATTATTTTATGTTAATATTTTATTTAATTTTATTTTCTGTTATTGTTGGGGTGGGGTGGACATGGCAATGACCAGGTTCAGATTACAGAAATGAGCTTGTTAATACATGAGCATCAGCGGATTTGATTGGTGTGTCTTTGAACTCTGGAAATATAGAGGGTTACCTGTTTCTTCCTGCTTCCACTCCATTTGCAATTCTGAGCTCCTTTTATTGTATGTTGATATATCTAATTATATCATAAACCCCCAGGAGATTGATATTGGTCTTTCCATGTCAGTATGGAAAAGGGGCGAGCAATGAGATGATGTCGTACAAAACATAGAAGATGATGTCTTCTATGCTTTGTATGGTGGCCCACAAATAAAATTTATTATTATTACTATGTGACACACACTTAATGGCCACAAATATCAGATCACATCCCTTAGTTTTTGAATCCAGTTGTTTTTGGTCCCATTGCCACAGGTGTATAAAATCAGGGACCTAGCCATGCAGTCTGCCTGGCTCTGGGTTGTTCTAATGAGTTCACTGAATTTGGGGATAGTGCTATAACAGGATGCCACAGGCACAACAATTCAGCCTGTGAAATTTCATCCTTTCCAAGAATAAATTTCATAATCATTTATAGATGATCGTGGAATATCCAATATCATCTATAAATTATATTTATTGCAAAGTGGAAGCATTTAGAAACCACAGCAAATCTGACATAAAGTGACAAACCATGTACATTTACAGAGTGTGGTCACTAGGTGCAATTCACATTAAATAATAGTTCCCAGCACTGACTGCAGCGTCCTAAACTCCTTCCTTCTCCTTCAGTTAACATCAGCACAGTGCACCAAGAGCTTTGTTGTATGGGTTTTCGAGCAGCCCCTGTAGGCAATGTGTATTTTTGTCCATGTATTTATACAGTGTGTAAGGTGTTTGGAATCAATTTTGGATACATTTAATTAAGTTACTTTTTAGCATCATTAATAGACTTAGGAAGTCCCTCTACCTTTTTAAATGCATTGCAAAGAAAATATTAGGATACTGTGAAAAACTATTTGCTCCCTTCCTGATTTCATTTGTACTTTTTTCCCCTATTTGTCACTGTTGCATGTTTCAGATCATCAAACAAATTTTAACATTAGACAAAGATAACCTGAGTAAATGCAGTTCTTAAATGATTATTTCACGTGCTAAGGCAAAAAAGATTAATCAATATCATCTGTGAAAAAGTAATTGCCCCCTCATAACTGGTTGTGCTGGCAGCAAGAAGTGCCATCAAGCATTTGCAATAACTGCCAGAGAATCTTTCTTATGGCTCTGGATCTGAATCAAAGCATCTAAATCAGATTTAAGTTCACATTGTATCAGGTAGATTTGGATATATTTTTTTCCTTAAGGAATGAAATCATCATTTTAAAAACTGTATTTGTATTTATTTATTTTATCTTTGCCTAATATTAAAACATGTTTGGTTGTCTGTGTTCCTGATGGACATATTTGATTGCATAAGAAGCATGTGTTTAGTTTGTACTCTGTCATGATTTTGTGTACTTTTGTTTCTGCTTCATATTTGAATGCTCACTAAAAAAGTGAGTACACATCTAAATATCTCTTGTAAACATTCCAATATAATGAAAAAATTGTGATTGAACTGGGATATAGAAAGTTACATTGCATTATTAACACTATTACGTAAAGCTTTACATTTTATATTATCCATCATTCATTCTTTTTTTCTTTCTCTTTTTCAACTTATGCCTTTTCCTCTTCAGCACCTGCACTGGGCTTGAATGCTTCAGCTCCACTTGCAGATGATAATATGACTCTGCTGGTAAGTGACAGAAGACCACAAAGAGTTACATTAGCGTCACTTTCATGAATTTTCATTATTCCCATTGGTGAAAATAATTTGTGTCTCAGTTTATTTGGCTGTTTTGATCTGCACAAGGTATGATATGAACAAATTTGAACTAAAGACTGAGCGAAGTAATTGAGGCCCCTATTTATCAAGCATTTTAGTGAAGGAAGTTAGCCTGGGACAATAATTCTTTAGCTGCGCCAAGTTTAAACACTTTTTCAGCTTTCTTAAATTATGTAATGAATCCTAATTTAATTTAATTTAATCATAATTAATTTTCTTTCTTTTTTTTTGTCATTTACTAAACAAAACTGAACCCTTTTGATTTAGAAAAAATGGCTGTCATCCATTTTTAACAAATTGCTTTGGCTTTTTTTCAGACAAAATGGTTTATATTTAATACATTTAGAATTATGATGTTGTGTGCATAAACTCTATGTTGTTACTAAAATATCTCACATTGATTTGCAAAGCCAAGTTTTAATTAAATGTTGTTTGTGTTGCAATCTTTGCTCTTCACTGGAGTGAGGGGAGGCTCTGGACAGTGCATGCTCAATCAGTAGCAACCTGTCACTAACTGTCAAGGAAGGCCCACCCATTTCACCATCCTTCTGGACACTCCTAAGGATCATAATTTTAAAAATGAATATCACATTGTATTCAAAACAACTTGAAATGGAGTCCATTAACTCACTCTAAAGTGTTTACTGACATTAGAGAATTAAGGAAACCAAAATCTGTTTTTTTCATTGACTCCTCACCTGGCTATTACAAAGAACTGCTGAGGCTTAAGACACTTCAACTTTGGCTTTAATTTTTAGACTTTAGAAGCTACACCTAGATGTCTCTTTTTTTATCCAGCCACAAAATGCTATGCTGGCCAGTATAACTCTATTTTACCAGATCTAAAATTGTACCTCCTTTTATACTACATGTCATAGTCATACAGGAATTTTATGGCTGAGACTAAACAACTTTTCATCGTAAGTATATTACACAGAGAGATTGCGATGTAGACAGGAACAGCCACAGTTTTAATGACAATCTTAGGTAGTGGACAACCTCCTGAATGACACTCATAGCATTCATTAGTGTTAAAAGGCAAAAACATGAACTGTTATATTTTGCTCTATATTCACAAGAGAAAAAAAATATGACCAGTAAAGTTCCCCTACAGATGGCAGATACTACTACTAAAGAGTTTTGGGGTTGTTACTGTAAGAGTGATACATACATATATACAGACTGATGAATTTTGATTGATCAGTCCATAATACCTTCTTCCAGTCTTCAGTAGTCCAATGGCGATGTTTCATGTCCCAGGAAAGCCTCTTTGTCTTATTCTGACTTTTTACCAATGGCTTTCTTGCTGCAGCTCATCCTGTCAAACCTGAGCTCGAAGTCTACTCTTCACAGTTGAAACTGAGGCTTGCTTGATGACCACTGTTAAGCTGTGCTTCAAGCTGTTGTCCTGCAAGCTGCCTATCACGCAAGCTGTTAACTCCCAGAAACTTGTCCTCTGATTCAGTTTTGGCTCGCATCAACATCTCCAGCATGGTCAGTGGCATGGTCAGAGACAACACGAAATAGAGCCGGTTTGCAGATTTGCAATCCTCTGAGTGAAGAGATTGCTGCACTTCACAGGATTATATATGGCTGTTAGCACACGCCATGTAGCGTACGCACTCTTCCCCTGGGCCCAGCTACTCATAAACTTGTGCAGAGAGCTGGACATCCTGTATTGAACAATGATAGTGTGTGATTAGATCCTCAAAGCTTCACAATTCTTGGATGAATGATGATGAAATTTTGCTCTGTTATTAACCTACATCAAATGAATAGCTTTAGCTGACTTGTGTTTAAAGATGGTTATTTTAGAGTGTTTAAATACTCAGATTCAGTGTACTGATACTGACTGCAGGTGACCTCGGCTGGCTGGAAGTCAAGCATTGTTTTTCAAGCAGATTTTTCTGATGGCTACTCTGATTATTATACAGCTTTTAAAAAACTGTATAATACCATTAAGCGTTATTTAAAAGTGTTAGTCTATTCCTCAGAAAGCAGCAGGAAAAGCATACAAATTCCATCATGATTTTTAATTTGCAACTCTAAATTTCATAAAGCTGGGATACAATGCTTTCTCCTATGTGGCAACATTTTTAAAAAATAATGTAAAGGTCCAGAATGAAGTTCAGTGTGATTCCTATAATTGAGTCCACTTGCTTGATAAATATGGGCCAAGACAGCGGCGTTAATCCAGCCATCAGAAAGCACTGTGGCTTTCAGTTATATGTGTTGTGTTTTTTTCTTTTGTTATTGCTTGTTTTTTTTTCTCTTTCTTGTGTCTGCTTTTTCTCCACTCCGCTACCTATCCATCAATTTTCCCTTCTCTGCTATGCTTCTTCCTTCCTCATCCCTTCGATTCTCTACTTTTGCTTCTCCTTCTGCCGTTGTCGTTTTTAGTTTAACTTAACAGATCTGGACTGGAGTCAGCTGAGTAAGAAAGAATGTGTCAAGTATGGTGGTATGCTGGTGGGGAACTCCTGTAAGTATGTTCCTGACCTGGCCCTCATGTCCTTCATCCTCTTCTTTGGCACCTACTCCATGACAGTGTCTCTTAAGAAGTTCAAGTTTAGCCGCTACTTCCCAACAAAGGTAAGCAAATCCTTATACTCAATAACTGCAGGAAGAAAACTCTCGCAGGCTGCCTTTAATTCCTGCATGTGAAATGCTGGTTTCCTTTAATTTGATGTTATGCCTATAATTACAGCATCAAAGTAGTGACATTTAAATAGCAACGCTGGTGATATTCCTTTTAAGGTCAAAAAGATCTACCAAGTAGGCTATTGTAAAACTCATTTTTACAATAATAGTCACTTAGACTAAAAGGCTAGTTTTAGAGCCTCTTTAAGTGGGATGATCTGCTTGTTTAGCTATTTTAGCATCTGAATGGTTCAGTTTTCAGTTTTCATGCAAGCACTTAGGCTTCACAGAGGACTGAAAACATCCAAACTTGTATACTTCTGTAATGTTGCATGATCAAAATGAAGAGCAACACCTAAATACCAATGAGACTATGGAACAGATGAGAAATGATGATTTGAACACATAAAGCTAGCTTTAAGGTATTGTTTGGCTACTATAAACAGAAGCACTTTCAATTTCTCACAAGATTTAGAGTGAGTGTTAAATTGTTCTCAATAAAATGGCATGGCATAATTATATGTACTTTGTCTACTTACTTACGTAGTCCATCTAAATATACTCATTAGAAATGTAGAATATTGCCAGTGTTTTACTTTAAAACTTCACCTACACAGTATGTGCTCGTTATCCAGACAACCAACCTTACACTTCCATATGTTTACCAGAATGTTCTCTCCATGTTGTTCCCCCCCCCCACTGCTTTCCACGTATGTGCTCCAGCTTCGCACACTGATCAGTGATTTTGCCATCATCATTTCTATCCTGGTCTTCTGTGGGTTGGATTGTCTGTTGGCGCTGGACACACCCAAACTGCACGTACCCACTGAACTCAAGGTCCACCCTTTCCTAAATACCTCTCTCATCTTGTCAGACCTTGTTCTTAGGACACTGCTGGCCACTCAATTCTTTCCTCAGCAATGTAGTTGTTTACGCATCTAAACAGGATTTGGAGTGTGTGGATTGATCAATTTTACACTTTAACTGAGTAAATAATCTCTTTTCTCTTTTCACTGTCTTGCTTTCCTCATGTATCTACCACTTTCTTATACTTAAACGTATGTCTCCCGTCATCACTTTTACTGTGCACATTTGTCTTTGCCCTTCTTTTGTCCTGTGTAATTGTATATGGGCTGACCTATAGCTGAGGAAGCTAATCAGTGACTTTGCCATCTTCATGTCAATCATGTCCTTTGTGGGTCTCGATATGCTGATGGGGTTAGACACACCCAAACTTATCGTGCCAACAGAGTTCAAGGTATTTGATTTTTCACAAAATTTAAAAAAAAAAAATATATATATATATATATATATATTCTGTCACTTCAAAGAATAATTATACTTCTAACAAGAGCACTCAATGAGCCCAACTCCCCCCAAGCAGCAAGAGCTATACTAAAACTTATATTGATGTCAGCATTGGTAATGTGGAAATCCCCAATTATGACATTGCTTTCGTAGATCATTTTTGCTGATGTCAGAACAATATGGAAATCTTTTGCAATATATTCATCTCTTTGTGTCATTATGAAGTCATAATGTTGTATTGGAAAAGAAAAAAGTTTTTGAAGAGCTCAAAAAGAAAATGTTTATGTTTATCTTTAAAGTTTGGAAATGATTCAATGGAAACTTAGGCTTTTCCCCTAATTTGTGGGACCCTGACTTTATATTTTGTTATCTTTACCTATATGTTTGGACCAGAATTGGCTAAAATCGTTGGCTTCTACAAGCTGTAAAAAATTGATATTTTAATATATACTGAAAGCAGTCTAAAGTACATTGTTGTATAAAGCACTTTGAATGCTCATGTAGAGTAAAAAAGTACAAGATAAGAACCAGTCTATTTACCATTTACCATGCAGTGTGTGATTTTTGCAAAACTTCATGGCATTATTCTGATGTCATAGGTCATCGCATAGAAAAAATAGAAATACATCGCTCTCCATGCCGTTTCATATAAAAAATTACTCAATATGTTTCCTTGAATTTTTTTTCTCCCAGTATCAACTTCGATCTTGAGCCTTAACTGTGAAGATCAAATAGTGCTCTGCATCAAATGGTACTCATGTCCACTGAGGCCTAGTATATTAATGTGAATTTTAAAAACCATAAAATAGAGGTTTATATAACATTTTTACTGATTTTCACATGTGCTGTGTCCTTGACCCAATTTTCACCTAAGTTAAATCAGCTCAAACTGTTACTGGTATTGACCATTACACAAAGTCTGAAAATGATATCTTGAATACTGTCCCTAAGACATATATATGTGTTTAATTTCAGGTTTTTTCCCTCCTTAATTCTGGGTGCATGCTAGCAATGGTTAGAAAATAACTTTTAATGTAGTTGCTGTTATATTGTTGTTATCATATTGGAAGTTTTTATACTTCTAACATGATATGAATTATGCTTCCAATATCGCCACCTATGTATAGCTCTTTAGAGGGAACTATTTCAGGTTTACATTCACTGGACACTTTATTAGATATGCCTTGCAATGTAAACCCCATTTTAGCTTTAGTCTTAATGCTTTGTAGGATAGATTGAACAAGTTGGTGGAAAATATGTTTATGTAGGTTCTCATTCATCTAACTCATGGTAGGCTAAGAAAATTGGACTTTAAGCTTTTGGAATATGTTTCAACTCACAGGCTTCTTCAGTTTTAAAACTGAAAGGTGACGAGTTCCAGGTATTTAAGCCCTACTGGAGGCTGTCTCTTAGAAGGTAGTCATTGGCCCACTATTAATGATGTGCAGACACACTTTCTGCTTTTAAGTTTAGGCTTAAAACTTTTCTTTTTGACAAAGCTTATTATTAGCAGGGGATCAGGTGACCCCGAATCCTTCCTTTGTTATGCTGCAATTAGGTTAAGCTGCTGGGGGCTTCACATAATGCGCTGAACTTTTCTCCTTCTCTCACCTCTTTTCACTCACTGTTATACACCACTCTGCATTTACTCATGAGTTATTAATCTCTGGCTCTCATCCACAGTGCGTCTTTTGCCCTGTCTTCTTCCCATCAACCAGTGGTGGCAGATGGCTGTCCCTCCTTGAGCCTTGTTTTGCCGGAGGTTTCTTCCTGTTAAAAGGGAGTTTTTCCTTCCCACTCTTACCAAGTCGTTGCTCAAACGAGATCATTTAATTGTGGGATTTTTTCTGTATTGTTGTAGAGTCCTTGCAATATAAAGCGTCTTGAGATGATTATATAAATAAAATTGAATTGAAGATGTCTGACATTTTGTGTCGTAAGCCAATAAGTGATGAATGATGGTCATTTGAAGTGGATATAGATTGCTTCTTTTATTCCTGTTTCAAACCATCCATTTTTTTAGTCCAAAATGTGGACATTAGCCATGTAGACCAACCTACAACCACCACCTTTACCCCGGGGGATGCTATACCCTGTATATGTGCCCTCAAAAGATCTACAAAGGAGTTCCAGTTAGACCTATTATTATCAGTATGAAATCAGCCACCTACAGAATTTACAAGCACCTAAGCGGCAGTAGCACCTAGCTACTGGATGGCATCAGGTAGAGCGGGTAACCTACTAATCGGAAGGCTGGTAGTTTGATCCCTGGCTCCTCCAGTCTGCATGTCAAGTATGCAAGTTATGTATCCATCGGAGTGTGAATGTGTGTGAATGTAGTTAGAAAGCACTCAGTTTAGAGAAAGTGCTTGTGAGAATGGGTGTGATTGGGTGAATGTGGCATATTGTATAGAACCCTTTGAGTACTCCAGGAGAGTAGAAAAGTGCTACAGTGGCTTGCAAAAGTATTCGGCCCCTTGAACTTTTCCACATTTTGTCACATTACAGCCACAAACATGAATCAATTTTATTGGAATTCCACGTGAAAGACCAACACAAAGTGGTGTACACGTGAGAAGTGGAACGAAAATCATACATGATTCCAAACATTTTTTACAAATAAATAACTGAAAAGTGGGGAGTGCATAATTATTCGGCCCCCCGAGTCAATACTTTGTAGAACCACCTTTTGCTGCAATTACAGCTGCCAGTCTTTTAGGGTCTGTCTCTACCAGCTTTGCACATCTAGAGACTGAAATCTTTGCCCATTCTTCTTTGCAAAACAGCTCCAGCTCAGTCAGATTAGATGGACAGCGTTTGTAAACAGCAGTTTTCAGATCTTGCCACAGATTCTCGATTGGACTTAGATCTGGACTTTGACTGGGCCATTCTAACACATGGATATGTTTTCTTTTAAACCATAATATTCCCTTTCCCAGGAGGAAAGATCAATAATGGGTCAACAGCCACCTTTAAAGGGAACAACCCCTAAAAGGGTTTAAATACCTGGGACTTTACATATTTTGGTTTTAGAACTAAAGAAGGCATTTGGATGAAAACTGAAACATCTTAAGAAAATTAAACATGGCCAGTAGCCTTCTTTTTAGACAAGGTGTTAGAAGCATCCAGAGATTTTAATCCATATTAACATGATGGCATCACACAGTTGTTGAAGATTTATAGACTACACATTGGAATATCCCATCCCATTTCAGCACATCTGAAAGGTGCTCTATTGGATTGACATGCGATGCTGGAGGCCATTTGAGTCCAGTGAACACACTGTCACAAAGAAACTAGTTTGACATGAGCTGGGTTTTATGACATGGAGAGTTATCATGCTGGTAGCAGGTGCTACCAGCTCATGCTACTAGGATACAGTACACTGTGGTCCTAAAGGGATGGACAAGGTCAGCAATAATACTCAGGTAGGCTGTCAGGTAGTGCCCAAAATGTGCCAGGAAGCGATCACCAGCAGCAACCTGAACCACTGATGCAAGGCAAGAGTGAATCATGCTTTCATGTTGTTTGGGCCAAATTCTGATCAAAGGAGAATAATCACTCATCATACCAGGGAACATTTTCCAATCTCACTTTGAACATCAGCAGGTCTTTTTGACTAAGTCTATAATCTTAACTCAACTGAGTTATGGCATAGTCAGAAGTAATTTGTGCTTGTATCTGTCACATTTTCACACAAATTGCATTTTCAAATGCTTATACTATAGAGCTTGTTCTACACTCAAATCATTTGTTATTTTCTGGAAGAAAATTTGATTAGATATTTGTGCTAGATATGTGTGCATTTTAACAGGTATACCTAAACAACCAATGAGTGTGTATGGCAACTGTAGTTACTTTTTAAAATAATTTAATATCAAAAAGAAAAGACTTAAATAGTCCAGTTCAATTAAGGCAGGGGTGTCAAACTCAAATACACAGTGGGCCAAAATTCAAAACTGGAACAAAGTCGCGGGCTAACATTAATCTTTATTGAAATCTTCCTCCAGATATAAGAATGAATCTTTTCTTATGGACTCAAACACATTTTGCTGAAAAACTGAATATAGAACAAGCAAAGCTTAATACTAAACAATATATATATTAGCTGTATAATACCAGTAGGCCAGCTCCAATAGTAATTTGGTATGGCTTCGCGGGCCAAATGTAATTAGGCTGCGGGCCAAATTTGGCCCGCGGGCCAGAGTTTGACACCTATACACCTATGAATTAAGGTAAGGCACTCGCCCACTTAGAATGGAATTTTACAAACCCATAGAAATTATCCAAGCTATATAAATATGCTATCGTTGTGCAGCTCAACATGTACATGTTTATAAAACATTCAGAGATAAAATGTGCAATTCTTTTTTAGTGTCTAAAATAACAATTTGGCCGATAGCCAATTTTGTTGCTTTTTTTTTCCCATGTCCCCCTTTTTGTGTCCAGAAAACATATCTCTTTATTATTAAAAACTGATTATTTAAAAATCTCTGTTCTTTAATGCAAAAGTAATATGGCATACTAGACAAATATCATTCATTCAGTAAATGGCATCTTAATTGCTATCATCAGGTCAACATCTGATAAAAGGTGAATCCTCACTGTTCTACCCCTGAAAAAGTAAAATGGCCAAATGGCAGATTAATGGGTTTAAAATGGTAGTGTAGAAAGAAATGGACATAATCACAGTGGCTGAGACGAGTGTTTTCTAGCATATGCATGACTTTTACTTAATAAATGATCTGCACAATTTTTATTTTGCCGTTGCAACCTAACACAATTCTCTGATTTCCTCTTTCACTATTTTCTGCTAGTATGGTAGTTTCACTGTATTTATATAGGTTTGAAATATAAAATATTTAACAGATGATTAACTAATGCTTAATAGTGTGCACTTATTATAAAGTGTTACCAATATTTCTTCTTTGTTGTTATACAGCCTACACGTAGTGACCGCGGCTGGCTGGTGATGCCCTTTGGTAAGAACCCCTGGTGGTGGTGTGTGGCCAGTTTCGTTCCTGCTCTTCTGGTCACCATCCTCATCTTCATGGACCAGCAGATTAGTGCTGTCATTGTCAACCGCAAGGAAAACAAATTAAAGGTCTGCAAACACCGAAGATGAAATGGTCACAGAAGAGATAAATATATAGAGTATATTAAAAAGTATTCTGCCTAAATGTTAACAGTTATACAGGGAGTGCAGAATTATTAGGCAAGTTGTATTTTTGAGGAATAATTTTATTATTGAACAACAACCATGTTCTCAATGAACCCAAAAAACTCATTAATATCAAAGCTGAATGTTTTTGGAAGTAGTTTTTAGTTTGTTTTTAGTTTTAGCTATTTTAGGGGGATATCTGTGTGTGCAGGTGACTATTACTGTGCATAATTATTAGGCAACTTAACAAAAAACAAATATATACCCATTTCAATTATTTATTTTTACCAGTGAAACCAATATAACATCTCCACATTCACAAATATACATTTCTGACATTCAAAAACAAAACAAAAACAAATCAGCGACCAATATAGCCACCTTTCTTTGCAAGGACACTCAAAAGCCTGCCATCCATGGATTCTGTCAGTGTTTTGATCTGTTCACCATCAACATTGCGTGCAGCAGCAACCACAGCCTCCCAGACACTGTTCAGAGAGGTGTACTGTTTTCCCTCCTTGTAAATCTCACATTTGATGATGGACCACAGGTTCTCAATGGGGTTCAGATCAGGTGAACAAGGAGGCCATGTCATTAGTTTTTCTTCTTTTATACCCTTTCTTGCCAGCCACGCTGTGGAGTACTTGGACGCGTGTGATGGAGCATTGTCCTGCATGAAAATCATGTTTTTCTTGAAGGATGCAGACTTCTTCCTGTACCACTGCTTGAAGAAGGTGTCTTCCAGAAACTGGCAGTAGGACTGGGAGTTGAGCTTGACTCCATCCTCAACCCGAAAAGGCCCCACAAGCTCATCTTTGATGATACCAGCCCAAACCAGTACTCCACCTCCACCTTGCTGGCGTCTGAGTCGGACTGGAGCTCTCTGCCCTTTACCAATCCAGCCACGGGCCCATCCATCTGGCCCATCAAGACTCACTCTCATTTCATCAGTCCATAAAACCTTAGAAAAACCAGTCTTGAGATATTTCTTGGCCCAGTCTTGACGTTTCAGCTTGTGTGTCTTGTTCAGTGGTGGTCGTCTTTCAGCCTTTCTTACCTTGGCCATGTCTCTGAGTATTGCACACCTTGTGCTTTTGGGCACTCCAGTGATGTTGCAGCTCTGAAATATGGCCAAACTGGTGGCAAGTGGCATCTTGGCAGCTGCACGCTTGACTTTTCTCAGTTCATGGGCAGTTATTTTGCACCTTGGTTTTTCCACACGCTTCTTGCGACCCTGTTGACTATTTTGAATGAAACGCTTGATTGTTCGATGATCACGCTTCAGAAGCTTTGCAATTTTGAGACTGCTGCATCCCTCTGCAAGATATCTCACTATTTTTGACTTTTCTGAGCCTGTCAAGTCCTTCTTTTGACCCATTTTGCCAAAGGAAAGGACGTTGCCTAATAATTATGCACACCTGATATAGGGTGTTGATGTCATTAGACCACACCCCTTCTCATTACAGAGATGCACATCACCTAATATGCTTAATTGGTAGTAGGCTTTCTGAGCCTATACAGCTTGGAGTAAGACAACATGCATGAAGAGGATGATGTGGACAAAATACTCATTTGCCTAATAATTCTGCACTCCCTGTAGTTATAGATATTATCTGGGAAAGGTAATGAGAAGAAAAAATACCGTGTTTACAACTTGAACAATTGTAACTTGAATTGTAACAGTACTGCACTACTGCTTCAATACATTACTATACTAAAGCAATGAAAGTGCCATGATGCTTTGTGATACTCAAATTTAAAGCAAATGTATTTTTTGTGTTTTTGGTAATTTTTGAACTGTTTACACAGTTCAGGATTACATGGGGAGTGGATCTTCTGGGTAATTTCCCGTTATTGCACCCAATTTCAGAAAAGCTGTGGCTACCACTTGGACCTGTTCTGGGTAGGTGTGCTGATGGCTGTGTGTTCTTTCATGGGCATGCCATGGTATGTAGCAGCCACTGTCATCTCCATTGCTCATATCGACTCACTGAAGATGGAGAGTGAATCTAGTGCCCCTGGAGAGCAACCACAGTTCCTTGGAGTCAGGTGGGACCCCCCAGAAAAAAAAAAGCTAACCATCATACCATCATCAGCTTGGTGTTCTGAACCATTGCATGCTCATAGGCTGGTAATATATCAATTGGGGGACAAAGTGGGGGGAATAAATTCTATAAAACGTATTTTTGGAACCAGAGGAGTGTCCCCTGCTGGCGTAAGGAAGGCTTAAGATGGTGAAAAGTGAAAATGCTTACTTCACTTTTGAGATCTTAAAGATAGACTGCATAAAAAAGAGAGTCCTTATTTCAGATTAAGGTCTGTGTGTTTTCTGATTGCCTAAATCATCTTTTTGTGTGGACCTAGAATAAAGTTTTATGCTATGCTTTTGATTCTTCACTTCCAGAGAGCAGAGGTTGACAGGCATTTTGGTGTTTGTCCTAACAGGACTCTCAGTCTTTCTTGCCCCTATACTTCAGGTAAGTTCGTAGATGAGACTGATGTGGTGTCAGTAGAAAGTTTATATTGGTTTTATTTTAAAATGTATGTTCTGTTCAATTCAGTACATCCCCATGCCTGTCCTTTATGGAGTCTTCCTCTACATGGGAGTGGCTTCACTGAGTGGCATCCAGGTATACTACAAAAAAATACATATATATATATTTTTTTCTCCATATTTTTCTTCATGGAAACTATAATCTATATGCCAATATATATTAAAAGAAAATGGTGTATAGATGAAAAATCAGACACAAGCAGAAAACAGGAATAACAAAAATCCAGTCTTTTTCAGTGTAAACATATTCATTTTCAAACACCATGTGTTTTTTCTCAGAGGGCCAGATTGTACAAGCTTAAGGAAATGAATGAGTTTATAATAACATATAATATAATATAATTGACAGATCAATTAAAGCACTTAAACTCAATTCAGTTTTATTTATATAGCACCAAATCACAACAAGAGTTGCTTCAAGGTTCTTTATATTATAAGGTAAAGACCCTACAATATTAGAGAGAAAACAGAAAGAATGGATAGGATATCCATCAAGACTAAATATCTGGTTATACAGTATGTTTCTAAGATTTTTAGGGCTGAGTAAAATTACCTCAGTTTTATCTGAATTTTGAAGTAAAAAATTAGATCATCATCAATGAGTCTTTATATTTTTAAGATATTTCTGCAGGTTAACCATTTGGTGTGTTTCATCTGGCTTTATGTATAGACAATGCTATGGTATCATCTGTGTAGCAGTGAAATTGTATGTTATGCCTTCTAATGATACTGCCTAGGGGAAGCATATATAATGTGCACATGATATGCAGTCCTTGCACTGAACCCTGTGGAACATATGGCATAGAAATAGAATATTTAACAGTATTCTCTGAAATTCCTCATTTCTCTTATCACTTCCTAATAACATTTAAATTTACTCTATTAGTTCTCTGTTCTCTATTAATCAGCTATGTGCGACAGGCCTTCAAAGACGGCAGTAATTAAACCGTTACTTGAAAAGCCATCATCACTTGACACAGATGTCTAAGCTAATTAAAGGTCAATCTCAAATCTCTGAAAAAATCTTCAACTGCAGAGTAATGGTTTATTTAAAGAGTTTCAGTCAAGTTTAGGAGTTCATCAAATTAAATTAACAGTGTTAGTGAAGGTTAGAAGTGATCTGATGGCCTTTGATGGTGGAATCATCTCTACTTCTCCTGCCACACCTCAGCACAGTGTTCGATGCAGTTGACCTTAATATTTTATTAAAGCAATTAGAGCATGTTGTAGGCATTAAAGATAGCGGTTTGAATCATATCAAATTAGAATCTGCAAATTGAAATGTAATAGATTCCAATGTGTTCATGTAAATGGAGAGTCCTCTTTACACACTGAGGTTAATTGTGGAGTTCCACAGGGTTCCTTGCTAGGACCAATTCTGTTTACATTATACAAGTTTAACTTAGGCAGCAACATTAGAAGATATAGGAATGGAATATATGGAATAATTGGAATTTTTCATTTCTGGTAATTTCCTGGATGACACAATGTTCTGCTTCATCTCTAAAACACTAAATAAAAGAATACCTTAAAATATTTTCTCGATTTCTTTGTTCCAGTTCTGGGAGCGCATCAAGCTGTATCTAATGCCGCCCAAACACCAGCCAGACTTCTCTTTCCTGCGTCATGTCCCTATGAGACGCGTCCACCTTTTCACCCTAGTCCAGATTGTGTGTCTGGCTGTTCTCTGGATCCTTAAGTCTACATTTCTGGCCATCATCTTCCCAGTAATGGTGAGGGTGTTCTGTGTTCTTCTGTTTAGGTAAATGAACTGATTCTTACATAGCATCATTGTATGCTCCCAGAACACTCAAAGCACTGTATACAACTCCTCATTCACCCATTCACACAAGCACTTCTTCTATGCTTACATGCTTTCCATCTACTAATCACGCACATTCATACTCTGATGGAATCGTCAAAGAGTAACTTGGGGTTTGTATCTTGTCCGAGGATATGTGGGATTCAGACTGGAACAGCCACGGATGGAACCATCAGCCTTCCGATCAGTAGATGATCTGCTATACTTACTGAGCTACAGGAACAATTTATCAAACTAAACTACCAAGAAGGGTCATTGTATAGCTATTAAACTAAGAATTATTCCGGCTAAATGTAAAACTGTCTGGCACGTCCTCTGACGTGAACGACAAAATATGTCGAAACAGATGCTTTTCTATCATCATTTACTCAAAAAGCAGAAAGTAGGAATTACAGTTGTACTGAAAAAAGGTTACATTCCGGTTATGATGCAGCTAATAACTTTAGCTTGATTTAATTAATATTCAGTGACCTTTAAGAATGTCCTATTGACTTATTTTATTGGTCCTGTTTGGAACCTTTTGTAAATTTCCATGTTTTACCTTCCAAAATAACTAAAGTGTGTGAATGTGAGAGTGAATGAATAATGGCATTGTAAAGCGCTTTGGGTGCCTTGAAAAGCGCTATATAAATCCAATCCATTATTATTATTATTATTAAAGTTATCAACAGGATATAAAGAAGCAAAAGCTTTGACATTTTCCTATAAAGTATCTATGCAGAAGTGAGAAAAGTGCATGCTTTTGTCACTTAAGTACAAATAAAGCTTTATGAACACTCATTAGTCACCTTTTTTCACTCACTACGTGTTTTATTCACCACTCTCCATCTTTAGCTAGACTTGTTGCCATAGTGTTTCTTTTTGTACTGGCTTCCTCCCCTCACCCCTGGAAATGTGACAAGCATATTTGTGCTTGTTCAAACAGTATCACACATTCAAAAACATTAAAATGCTGCTCCTAGTGATGAAAGTTTTTGTTAAATTTTGAAGAGGACAGCTAGAAAAACTGCCTTATTTTCTACTCTAAAGCTTTGTAGTTTTTTCTTTTCATTTCTTTTTTCAGATTTTCTGTCTACTCTGATATGGCAAAGAGTAGACAGGAAACCTGACAGAGATATTGATTTGATTTTAAAACACATTTATTCACTTAATAGTGATCCATATAAACATTCAGCTCAAATCGATACATTCCTAAATAAAAGTTCAGAATTATTTAATGTAAACAGACTGCCTTTATAGTCCCCAAAATTTTGAAAAACCTCCAGCTCATCCATTTTGAAATAATACTTATATTCCAACATCACTCTTGAAAAGCTGCACACAGTCAGAATTTCTGTTAAGTCTAATTGTTGAATGTTGCCATTGTGTTTCTTAAATTTGTACAGTCTTAGTTCAAGCAGTAGGATCAAAGCCATTCCTTTGATCCTGACCACCTCTCCAACCACTCTGTGCTGGGGGAGGTTTTATTGTAGATACATCCTCTCTGAAAGATCTGTTTCTTTTGATGTAAACTTCCTGGGTTTACGACCCTTTGGTCAGCAGGAGGTCTGACACACACACACACACACACACACACACACACACACACACACACACACACACACACACACACACACACACACACACACTCTTACAGAAGTTCACACATATACATAAAATGCTTTGTCTTAGAACCAAGGGGGCGTGGCTTTGTTCTGACGTGTTTTGTGTGAACTGTCTCTCAATAAAAGGTAGCAGGAGGAGGTCAGATCTGGGGGTCATTTTCATGGTGGACACAGACGAGGCCTCCCTTGCGCAAATAATCGATCGATCGACTGTCTTGTTTTCTTCATGATGAATAAGTCTCTAGAATTAGCGGGGAAACACAGACCCAACAATTTCGTCCATTATCAATCTAATATTTTCTACTCAAGTAAATTGCCAAATTGTATTGACCCTGGAAAAAATTAATCAGTCGTCCTTTTTTTCTTCTTTCTTTTGTCATATGAAAACCTGAAGATAAAACACCGTTTTGTAAAAGATTCTCCAAATGATTCCCAAATACAACTAAGCACTGAAAATAAATCCATTAAACATTGTACAAAACAATGAAAAATGTAATGTTGCTTGTACAAGTTGGTTTTTGTCACATCAAAACCAACTTTAAAAGGATATCTCCAAGGCGTATCATTTTTACTTGTTAACTTGCTTTATTAAGAAATGTTCTAGAGCAGACTCGAACCCAGGCCCCTCTATTTCAGAAAGTCTGCTACTGAGCCACTGGGCCTCATTCACTGATATGGTAATAATAATTGTATTAGTAGTAGTACAACTCTCTTCAATTATGTATTATTTATATAGCGGCGATTTACAACAATGACAAGATAATGTTAATCTACCTGGTTTTGTAGATTCTCGGTCTCATGGTTGTACGAAAGCTGCTGGATTTGATGTTCTCGCAACATGATTTGGCCTGGCTGGATGATATCCTGCCAGACAAAGACAAGAAGAAGAAGGAAGATGAGAAGAAGAAGAAGAAAGACAAGAAAGCACCAGAGCCTGAGAGTGATGAGGAGGTGAGGAAATGCACTATTTGTCAAGTGTGGATCTGTCTTTCTTAGTATTAACTGTGTATTTAAGTGTGTGTCACTCCATCTGCTGTGGTTGTGTCGATCCTGGGTTTATTTTCTCTAACTAATACTGTATGTTTCTCCTCTCCCACAGTGTTGCTGAAAGGCACTTCATTCCCTCTTACTACAGTCTTCCTGTCTGTCCATCATCTTTTCAGTACATCTTTCACCTCTCCCACTTTGTTCCAACCTTTAGAAACAGTGTGTGTGCTTATGTGTACCCTTTGTATTTATGCTTCATCCAAGTCTTTGTCCATACTAAAAGGGTTGCTTGACAGCTGTGTAGAAGCACAAGTGATGCCCACTGATGGCTTTAAAGGATAAGCTTGGTGTTATTGATCAAATTTTTATTAGTAGCTTTAGCTTGGTCACTATCAGCAGTATTAACTTTGCCCAGTTCACTGAAACACTGACAATCTTGTCTCATAAGCCTCTGCTATTCACGCGTGGGGGAGATGTTTTCCTGAATTGTGCAACACAGTTAATAAACTACACTCTTCAGTTCAGTCAGAAACCCAGCACAGACCAAAGTGATCATCCATGAAAATAGATATGAAAGTAAGTGGAGGAGCAGGAGTGGATGTGGGTTGCAAAGCAGCTTGTTGCGGCTGAAGGAACTGAAATGGCCCCATCTGAGATTTGAAAATCTGTGGAAGGGTATATGCTCAACCATCAGCTGATGTGGGCTGGAGTTGAGATCCAATTATGGCCGAGTTAGAATACAAATACAGTGGGGCAAAAAAGTATTTAGTCAGCCACCGATTGTGCAAGTTCCCCCACCTAAAATGATGACAGAGGTCAGTAATTTGCACCAGAGGTACACTTCAACTGTGAGAGACAGAATGTGAAAAAAAAATCCATGAATCCACATGGTAGGATTTGTAAAGAATTTATTCGTAAATCAGGGTGGAAAATAAGTATTTGGTCAATAACAAAAATACAACTCAATACTTTGTAACATAACCTTTGTTGGCAATAACAGAGGTCAAACGTTTACTATAGGTCTTTACCAGGTTTGCACACACAGTAGCTGGTATTTTGGCCCATTCCTCCATGCAGATCTTCTCGAGAGCAGTGATGTTTTGGGGCTGTCGCCGAGCAACACGGACTTTCAACTCCCGCCACAGATTTTCTATGGGGTTGAGGTCTGGAGACTGGCTAGGCCACTCCAGGACTTTCAAATGCTTCTTACGGAGCCACTCCTTTGTTGCCCGGGCGGTGTGTTTTGGATCATTGTCATGTTGGAAGACCCAGCCTCGTTTCATCTTCAAAGTTCTCACTGATGGAAGGAGGTTTTGGCTCAAAATCTCACGATACATGGCCCCATTCATTCTGTCCTTAACACGGATCAGTCGTCCTGTCCCCTTGGCAGAAAAACAGCCCCATAGCATGATGTTTCCACCCCCATGCTTCACAGTAGGTATGGTGTTCTTGGGATGCAACTCAGTATTCTTCTTCCTCCAAACACGACGAGTTGAGTTTATACCAAAAAGTTCTACTTTGGTTTCATCTGACCACATGACATTCTCCCAATCCTCTGCTGTATCATCCATGTGCTCTCTGGCAAACTTCAGACGGGCCTGGACATGCACTGGCTTCAGCAGCGGAACACGTCTGGCACTGCGGGATTTGATTCCCTGCCGTTGTAGTGTGTTACTGATGGTGACCTTTGTTACTTTGGTCCCAGCTCTCTGCAGGTCATTCACCAGGTCCCCCCGTGTGGTTCTGGGATCTTTGCTCACCGTTCTCATGATCATTTTGACCCCACGGGATGAGATCTTGCGTGGAGCCCCAGATCGAGGGAGATTATCAGTGGTCTTGTATGTCTTCCATTTTCTGATGATTGCTCCCACAGTTGATTTTTTCACACCAAGCTGCTTGCCTATTGTAGATTCACTCTTCCCAGTCTGGTGCAGGTCTACAATACTTTTCCTGGTGTCCTTCGAAAGCTCTTTGGTCTTGGCCATGGCGGAGTTTGGAGTCTGACTGTTTGAGGCTGTGGACAGGTGTCTTTTATACAGATGATGAGTTCAAACAGGTGCCATTCATACAGGTAACGAGTGGGGGACAGAAAAGCTTCTTACAGAAGACGTTACAGGTCTGTGAGAGCCAGAGATTTTCCTTGTTTGAGGTGACCAAATACTTATTTTCCACCCTGATTTACGAATAAATTCTTTACAAATCCTACCATGTGGATTCATGGATTTTTTTTCACATTCTGTCTCTCACAGTTGCAGTGTACCTCTGGTGCAAATTACTGACCTCTGTCATCATTTTAAGTGGGGGAACTTGCACAATCGATGGCTGACTAAATACTTTTTTGCCCCACTGTAGAATAGAAATATCCTTTATTGTCGCTCATTAGGGAAATTCCGGTGTTCAGCAGCAAAGTAACAGGCAGATGGAGCATGCAGATTCAAAAAAGAATTTACAACATGAAAACATGAATTTAAAAAATGTAATCTCTAGCGATGAGAGCCATTCCTTCTGAATGTTGGAACACTGTGTCTCTGTAAGTTCACCATATATATATGTATATATATATATACATATATATATATTTCTCATCAGTGTGTCCTGGTTTTCCAACACCTAACACCTTGGCGCCTCTGCTGGAATCTCCAACAATTAACTTATGGAATCCAACCTTTCGAACTACTCATCTTGCAGAGTGCTGGAGACTGACCCAGATTGCCTCCAGGGATCCCAATTAAGTGCCAACTCCCCACCTCTCTCTCTCTCCCCCTCTCTCTCTCTTAATATCTAGTCAACTAAGTGCGTGTTTACATGAGATTCACTGATCTTCAACCCCACCTTATTCCCTCTTTCTATTTCTCTCTTTTAACATGGAAAATTTCATTACATTTGAACATTCAGTCACATGTGAATAGGCTTCAGTTAAGATTTCATTAGCACATTCACTTTAGCATAGTCCCCTTTAATTCAAATATGTTTCTCTTTAAAACTCTGTGTTTGTCAGTCACAGTTTACTCTATTGAATAAATACAATACAATCCCCTTTCTCACTAAATAGAACACTTTATAAGTCAGGCATTAAGAGTGTTGTGTCTTGTGTGTGCTCTCATTTACTCACACACGGACTCACTCTCATATTTCTCAAGGCCATTTCTATACAGGCTTTCAGCTAAGCCCCAAGTTTCGCCTGTCTCTAAACTCATTATTTTCCTTTTTTTTTTTTTTTTTTTAACTTTCTATTCCTATTAATCATCTTTAGGCAAACTCAATCCGGTTGTTCAGGGATGACACGACGAATCCTACTTCCAGGCCTAAAGTAGTCTGAGTTTAATATGGCTTTTGTGTTGTTAACATGTTTAATGTTATGTATTTTCTTCTATTTGATCTCAAAAAGCTCCTAAAACAGTCAGTGATCACTGTTGACCTCCCTCGGCTTTTATTACCGCTAATCATTTATTTAAGCTCAGTTTTTAAAACCTTAGGATGTAACTACAGCCCAGCCCATGCAGCAGTATATGAATGACTAACCTCGTATTGTGGATGGATTATCTCAGTTGTTCTCCTGGCTGAAGTTTGGTCCTTTTACAGCATCCTGCCATGCGATTACATTTGTTCTTGACCACCGAGAACACTCACGTTAACTTTTATCGAGTGGAAAAAAAGTTAGCTTGTTTATATTATGCTAACATAGCTGTGTCGCTAGCGGTCACGTAGCACATCATTATATACCAGCTAGCCAAACTTCAGTAACCCTACAAACATCACTGCTGTTTAGTTTTCTGTCTTCATTTATGTTGGAAGTGATAACCGAGCTGTATGTTTTAATTTGTTTCCAAAACCCCGCAGTCAGGACATGCTATATTGTATTTAGATAGAAGCTAGCGAGCTAACTCTCTGCTAACTTCTAACTCCGTTAAATGTCATAAATTCCGTTTTCATGGATGCCTGGATGTTAAACTCAATTGTTACACCTGGTAGAGCAGAACGCTGATCATTTTATTAAAGATGAAAGACTTTAGACAGTTTTTCAACTCTCAGTAATGCCATAGTGATCGTTTGATATATGGACCTGCAGCGGAGTTTAGGTCCAGACACGGCTAGTGACGTCAGACTGAACAACCGGATTGTCTTCATATTTACTGATTGTGTTCTGATTATTATTGTGCATAATTAACTATCAGCAAATTCACATACGAATCATAATTCTGTGTTTACCCCTCACAACATTTAAAACTACGTTCTTGATGAAAAATATAATGATGGGTTGATGACATAGTTGTTATCTTCTCAAACTCAAACTTGAATAAAAAAGTTGATGATGGATCATGTCTACACACACAAAATCTAGACACCAGATTCAGTTCAATAATCAGACATCTCTCTACTAAGATACTGATCAGACATATTGCTTTGATTTAGCTTTGATTAACAGTAAAACTGGTCTATTTACTAGCAGATAAGGAAAAGTTCTGTTTTAGGAGCTTGGCCATTTTCACCACCTTTTTAATACATAAGTTTGGGTGTCAAATCCTTTTATCCCCGGCTACTACTCCACATTATGTGGATTGTGCGTGCGTGCGTGCAAAAGAAACCCCCCTCTTGTCCCTGCGGGCAGTCTATCCTTCAAGCTCGGCAATACCTCCTACGACCATACTGAGACTAACCAGCTGATCTGTTCCACAGCAGCAGTGATCAGTGAGGTGCTTGGCTGCAAGATAAACAGCCACAAAGAGCAGTAGAAGGAGACCAAAGGCCATGGAGGAAAGTTAGCTAACTATCAGAGCTGCAGAAAGGTGCCTAAGAAGTACAGCAAGCTTGCCATACCTCAGGCCTTGGAAACTTCAATCCCATAGCACAAGTTACCATCAAGTGCGGGATCTACCAAGGACATACTCTGTCCCCACTGCTGTTCTGCATAGGCCGGAACCCCCTCAGTGAGATCACTGACAAGACTGGCTACAGGTACCAACTACGGAATGGAGCAGTGATCTACATGGAAGACAAAACGCTATATGCCCAGAGTGAATGTGACTTCGATTCACTGATCCACACCACCAGGATGCAAAGAGGTCAGAAAGTCATTCAGACTGGAGAAGTGAAATCAGATGGTAAAGAAGAGAGGGAAGGTAGTCAGAACTGAGGCGACTGTACTACCAGAAGGCAACATTGCAGACATAGAGGACAGCTACAACTACCTGGGACTCCCACAGGCAAATTGGAACCACGAAGAGGCTGCTAGGAAAGCTGCAACCACTAAGTACCTGCAGATGGTCAGGCAAGATCTGAGGAGTCAGCTGAATGGTAAGAATAAGATCTGGGCTATCAACACCTACGACCTGCCTGTGATCAGGTACCCTGCTGGGATAATAGAGGGAGGAGATGGAAGCCACTGACATCAAGACCAGGAAGGTCCTGACCATGCATTGAGGGTTTCAAGTCCAGCATACTGAGATTGTACACTAAGTGGAAGCAAGGAGGCCAGGGACTAGTGAGTATCAGAACCACAGTCCAGGATGAGACAATGAACATTCACGAGTATTTCAGGAAGATGGCCTTGACTGACCATGTTCTCAGTCTGCCGCCTCAGACAGCAGAAACCCAAGAAAGAGGAGCAAGAGAGGAAACCATCATGGAAGGAGAGGCCCCTTCGCAGTATGTACCATCGGCAGATAGAGGAACTGGCTGACATCCAGAAAACCTACCAGTGGTTGGACAAAGCTGGACAAAAGACAGCATAGACACACTAATCATGATAGCACAAGCTCTAAGTACA